AGGTTCAAGACAGTAATTAATGTTTTGCTAACAGAAATCGGAACTTTTTTTTCATAGAATGTAATTTTTTGTGTTTTCAGGTTGAAGACAGATTATTCATTTTCGATATTGAATCAAATTTTCAAAGATAGTGTTTTTTGTCTTACAGGTTCTAGACAGAAATTATATTTTATTTTTCATCGGATTTGGAACTTAAATTTTGTGTTTTGGATCTCAAGTTCAAGTTTCCTCTTCGCAATTGGAACTAATTTGGCAATGCATAGATTTTTTTTCAGGTTAAAAGACAATCAATATATTTTCTAATAGAAGTTAATTTTGGAACAAATTGCATTTATTGTGTTTTTGTTATCAGGTTCAAGACAAATAATTAATGTTTTTTCTCCTAGAAATTGGAACTAATTCTTTGTGTTTTGTTTTTTTTAGGTTTAAGACAGTAATGAATGTATTTTTCATTAAAATAGAACTAATTTTTACAGATTGTGTGTTTTGTTTTTCAGCTTCAAGACATATAAATTATGTTTTTTCTCATAGATGTTGGAACTTATTTTCAAAGATCATGTCTTTTGTTTTTCAGTTTCCATACAATATAACATACATGTATTTTCCTTTAAAAATTGGGATTAATTTTTGTAAATTGTATTTTTTTTCTAGGTTCAAAGGAGTAATAATGATTTATTTTCTCATTAAATTATAACTAATTTTTATAGATTGTTTTGCTATTCAGGTTCAAGACAGAAACTACAAGGGTTTTTTTTTCATAAAAAACTTAACTATTTTCATGGATTTTTTTTTTATTGTTTTACAGTTAAAGTCATTGAAATTGAAACTAATTTGGAAAGATTTTGAATGTGTTTAATGTTTTAGGTTTATGACAATAATTGTACTTATTTTGTCATTTAAATTGAAACTAATTTGCAAAGAAATTTTTCAGGCTTAAAATAGCAATCAAATTAAATATATTTTCTTTAATTGAACATATAACTAACTTATTTTTAGATCATTCTTTGTCTGTCTGTCTGTCTGAATGTCCCTTCAAGACAGTAATTATGTTCCCCAAACGAAGTTTGGGGACATATTGTTTTTACTTTTTTGAATGTTTTCTTTGTTTAGTTTTATATTGCATTAAACTCTCATTGATTAGGTGAAACCTTTTTAGGGTCACTAGGTATGTTATGTAATGTGCGGAACGAAGGTCATTTTTTTGCGCGCACGTGCGTGCAGGTGCGCACGTTAACACGTATTGACCAATATATATTTATGCTGTAACTTTTTAAATATTGGATTAAATAATATAAGGATATAATAGTAGTATAGACATGATGACATGGTCAAAATAGCAAGATCTCACGCGCATGCAGGTGCCCTTCGCTGCGATTGGCTGATTAAAGTCTAAATATTATTTTGAATGACAAAATCCTTTGAAATTGAAGATCTACAGCATGATATATAAAACATGTTGCACATGCACGTGTGCTAAATCTGATTGGAATAATTTTTTACAACTTTCTTGGTTCTCAATTTACAGGGTGAAATTTCAAATATGAATAGATATAATGATTTTATACTACTATCAAAAGTAAATACATGGACGTGCAAAAAACCGCACACAAATTAAAAGACAGTATACTTGAGTGTTTGATGTTCATGCAGAATTAAGAACTTCTAAATGTCAAGACATGTAACATACTGAAGCATGCAGATCTTTTTACCCTTGACCTTGAAACTTAGGTCAAGGTCAATGGTAACCTGAATAAAATGTTGATATTAGCTATTTACCAAAATCACCTTGACCTATGAACTTGAAATCGACCTTAACCTTTGTCCTTGACCCAAGGGTAAAAGAGATACATGAAGTACATTTACATGTATCTAGAAACACCTTTCAGAGTTTATTTCGGTTGACAGGTTAGAAGTTAAAAGGTTTGGTTTTTTATGACCTTGACCTTCAATCCAAATGTCACAATCAATCTTAAGTTCTTGGAACTATAACAAGATTCAACTCCAACGTTTAGGTTAAGAATAATAAATACCCCCCCCCCCACACACACACAAACAAATCAAATTAATGGCAACGGAGAATCACTGTTAAATCAAATATACCCATATAAAATTTCAGGAAAACTTAGAAAATAGCTCGAGGAAAGTGTATTAAAATATTTCATTTGAGTTTCCATTTAGATAGAAATTATTAATTTATACAGAAAAAATTACAAATCCTGTCGTGTTTAAAATTAAAGTGCAGATGACCAAAGTTGGCATATAAGCCTTTTATAGCCTATTTATTCAGATGTTTATAGCATTCGATTTAACTGATTTTTAATATTTTAATGCATCCTTTGTTTAATTTACCTTTGAAATTTATTTGAATTTTTTTTTAGAATTACGCAATCCCCAGAAATAGCGATTTTCGGTATATTAAAAATCAATATACATGTACGCTCCTTCGTAAAATAATCAGATATTTGCATTCATGAAAAAAATATTGATAAGTAGGTGTTAAACAATATAGGTCACATTGAATGTCTTTTTAAACATCTCTTGTAAAACCCAGAGATAAATGCATTGGAAAAAATGAATATCCGGTCAAAAAACCTTTATATATTTATTTACAAATTATAAAATTTACCAGGCACAGGTAAGAGTTGTCAAAATGGCCTGAGAGGAAATATTAAAAAAATTCTGAACAGAAAGGAAAATCCCTTTTCCATGTATGGAACTACTATTGAATAAGTTCATTTTGATTGGTTTATTTTTTAACCCTGCCTTGTTGAATAAAACCAACTTTGAGCCCGAGGTTAAAATAAGTAGAGAAATAAAATGTGAATCGATATATTAAGAATATGACATATGCTTGAAAAATGGTAAATTTATATATGTATTTTTTGTTTTATTCGCGGGTGAAAGATATGTTAATCGCTTAATCAACATGCCATAATCATCTTGCAATGCATGTACCTGTACGTGTTGCAAAACGTTAAACAATGTATCGTTGATAGTTGATATCATTGTAACTTTTATATTCTTAAATGAAATATTGGGATACTTAGCATATTTATAAAAGGTCTTAGAGGAATAAGGCACGATAAGGACATGGGGAGCGTTTGGGGAACATCTGTAACGGTCCCCGTTACAATTAGCACTAGTTAAAGCTGCTTTGTTTATATGTTGCATTAATCTGCAAAGTTTAGAAAATAAATGCAGATTATGTTCAAACTATTTATACTATATTCTATGCTGATGTCAGTTTTATTATCTGATAACTCTGAGGATTTACAAAGATCTTTGATTATTTTCAATGATTATTAATTGGGACCATTGGAAGCTTCAAGTAAAAACTGACAAGGTTAAAAATAATAATTTTTTTAGAGGAATCCCCCCCCTATCCCCCCCCCCCCCAAAAAAAAAATTGTACAGAGAAGCACCAATTGATATTGTGAACGAATTTAATACTTATAGGTATTGTCATGTATTTTGATGGAGTTATAAGCCCAATTTTGTTGACGTACAGATGTGAAGTACGGGGCTACAAAAACATTGATATCTTAGAAAAGGTACACTTAAGTGTTTGAAATTTGTTATACAATTATAAAGGGCAGTACTCCAAAAAATTTAGTGTATGGGGAAACTGGGCGATATCCTCAAGTTTAATAATATGTAATGTGAGTATGTTGACATACATAATTGCTCTCTACTTTTCTGAAGGTTTATTTAGGCACCCATGGTTGAAATGTATATTAAGAGATATCTTGATTTTGTGTGGTCTGTCTTATGTGTGGATGAATCAAAATTTCATTCAGTATTGTAACATGGATATAAAATACTGTTAGGTCAATTTTTACAAGACAGGCAGAATTATGAGCATAGATAAAATAGAATTTAAGAATTGTATTAAGAATTAATTTAAATTTAAAACTTGTAACCTCAAACTTCCAATCGACACTGGTAGTTCTTTAAGAATATGTAATTTAATTAATATGTAATAAAAATACTTTAGGGATGAATTTCATTATGTAATATGGAATGCATGTCCATGTTTTTCATCATGTGTGAAACTAAGTGATAAGAAATATTGTTCTCATGTAAATACATATAAGTTTAATTGAGAAAAATGATGTCCATCACAAATGTTGACTCACTGATAAAGCTGTCTTTGTTTGCTAAAAAGATATTGGCCTAGCTCAGCTTTCAGTAACATTTTCTTTTTTGACACTACTCTTCCTTACTAGACCATGTATTTTGTATATCTTGTATGTGAAAATATATGTTCCTGTACCTCATACATACCATTGTGATGAAATTAAGAATTAGCATTAGGATTAATTACTGGTAATTATAATATATACCATTATATGATCTGCTGATGTAACTTATATTATATATTGCACACATTATTTTTTTATGCATGTATGTAGTGCCCCGGAATTATTCTTTCCGGATTTGTTGGTTTTTACTTTATTTTTATTGTATACCAGAAACGATCTAAGGCATCAGTGCCAACCTCGTGGGTTCCAGAATTAACCCAGCTTATTTTTCTGTATTTAAAGCCACCTATGAAGTAAGTTTTGTGATTTTTCATTTACTATGATGTGTAGGCAATGCATAATACTCGTTTTCTAGTCATGTGTAATTTTTTAACTGTCGTATTGAGTCAAGGCGCACTTGGCGCGTTTTTTACCTGTCTTGTTTTGATCATTAAATTTGATTGCGACAATTGATTGATTATTGCATTATTAATACATCTGTAATCATGCTAGGGATTAACTATGTTGATGTCTGTTTATCAACTCATGGAAATTATTTCGTTAGAATAGCTTTTCTTTGAGATTTGTTTAAAACTTGAAAACTATGGAAACCCACTCTAGTCATATTTTTATTGTGTATGTTTTATATCGACATATTGCTTACATTTTTGTATTGTTTGTTTGTAGTTTTTCACCCTCTCCGGGGGTTTGGATGCAATAAACTCATTCAACATTGCACAATGTATGATCTAAGATTATTGGAATGTATGTTTGACCTAGCTGGGTTCAGGAATATAGCATAATAATTTGTACTCTGAATTAGCATTTTCTGTGCATTATTATGGTGTTACTGAAAATTAATATACCATTGAGTGGAGAAAATTATTACATGTATAGGTGCCCTTGAAAGAGAACTGTAATTACAGCCGGCTTCTGTTTAAACAAAGACAACCATCAAAGTTGAAATGAATCTGAGATGGGCCAGATTATATTATGTTCAATGCGTTATTTGTCTATGATATAATGCCATTACTGTGTAGAAAAGAAAGAAAAGGCAAAGAAAACAGACTATATTAGACATGGAGATAAAGAACAGTATTCAAGCTCAAAAGTTCATTAAAACAGTACAAATCAGGAGAAGAGCAAACACAGACCTCTAAAACATCAGAGATGGGATCAGGTGCCATGGAGGAATAAGCATCCCCTGCTGAAGAAGATAAAGTCATACCCAGTTTTTGCCAGTATGTGTCTGTAAAACTGCTGATTATAAGGAAGTTCTGAATACTTAGCAATGAAAAGAAATTAACAAGGTATACATGAAGTTTTAGTCAGTTAAATTGATCTTGCAAATTGACCTTTTCTGTAAAGTTGAAGGTAAATGAAAATTACCGAGAAGAAATTTTATCAATTTAATGATGCCTAAAAGTACAATAGTTATGTAACTTGTTAGTGGAATGTATTTTTAGTTATGTTCAAATTTAGCTATCTCAATAAGTAATACCAAAACTTCAATCTTAAATATTGCTATCTTAATATAAGTCCCTTCTAAAACTTCTGCATATGCAGTAATGCATCATTTTTCATGAATTATAAGAAAGAGGAATATATTTTTAGATCCTGGAGGGACCCCAAACCCACAAGATGTCCAGAAAGTTCTACATTCCGGAGGACAGAAGCCATTTGAACCAATAATGTCCAAAATACATCTTTCTGATGTTCAGCACCAAAAGTAATTAATTTATTTTTATGGGAAAAGTTATTAGATAACTACCATCCTTAATCAAAATGAAATCCATTTAGATACCTGGATAGTGTTTGACAATGTATAAGATACAGGTGTTGATTCAGGCATAATGTGATCTGTACTGACGCCCTTCTTATGGCTATAAAGGTCTTATGCAAGGAAATAGCCAATCAAAATGAACTCCGTTAAATGTAATTATTTATGTAAAGAGATTTTTTTATTTTTTCATTTTTTGCATTTTTTTTAGGTCTACAGTATTAATTTAAACTCGTACTAGGAATATCATATATTTAGCAGAATTACTCCACTGAATTTAAGGGAACTTTTTTTTTGCAGGTCCACATGAAGCAACTTCCTGGATGGTGTGTAGGGTGTTTGTCAACATGTAAACCCCACGGGTATTTTGAGGTAGGTATATTGTTTACTGCAATTTTCTTTCTTTAAAGCTGCATAAGGTGTATTTTTAAATTCTGATTTCAAATTTTTGTTAAAGCATTAATCTTTATTTTCCGTTTCATGAATTAGATGCTTCAAGTCTTTATATAGAGTTAATTAATTTAATTAAAAGCTATAAAGTAATATATAGTGAAATTATTTCCTTGTGTGAGACCTAAAGAAAAACAGGTAACTCTCATTTTAATTACAATTTCTCTTATTTCAGGAGTAGTCTCCCCTGTTAAAGATTAAAGGCAGATCTACAATGCCGCATGCAGTCTGGTCATCAACAGAGAGTTTTGACACCAGTATACTTGATTTCTACCAATCACTTGTAACGTACCTTTGTACCTTTGGGTGGACAGATTTAGAGGAAACCTAAAGTCCCCATCTGGTGTCATTGGTAGGGGAATTAAATAATATAATATTTACATGTCTACATTTTCCCCATTTACACAGTTGCAATTGCAGTTGAAAAGAATCATGCAATTTAAATAAAACATAGCAACATTGCAACTTCCTTTTTTATTTTTGATCTGTTAATGATTTACTGGAAGCGTCTTTAGATTTTTTATCGTACAGCTGATATCTTTTAGATTTGCAGTATTTTCTTTGAGATTTATATTTTAACAGCTTTTATTTCATTTTGAAGTATTTTTGCCTATAATTTTGTTCTTGTTTTAGATGATGGACCACTCTACTTCCTTTTAAAACAGGTGCCCCTACAGATTCACAAAATTCCAGTGTTGAGTTTCCATGACTATTCAGTGAGTGCACAACTTTATGTACATGTATATTCTTCTTTCAAATTTCTACAACTTGTAATACATGTACATTTTATATTTCATTTTAAATATGCCCTATTCACAGATTCAGATTTTTGTGTACAAGTATGATATTTAATTGTATTAAATTAATAAATTGGTCCTAAAATTAAATTTATGCAGTCTTTAAACTAAACAAAATTTGTCTTCTTCTGTCATGTTAAATTCAGAGACACTAAACAACATTAAAGAATTCTACTTTTTACTTTTTCAGTCCACGAGAGTAAAAGGAATAAAGTTGACAGGACTTATTTCCACAATTTCCCTGGTAGCAGCTTATGATGGAACCAACAGCAGTAGACAAACCCCACTTTATCAAAGGTAAGTATCCCGAGAAGTGTTTGTAGCAATTCTTGTACTCTCTCCTGCATTGAACTTCAGGTCCAAGGCAAATCTCTCTTATGGCCTTGGTTCTCCCTGGAAACGTGATTGCTGAATGGATCAAGCCTTATCAGTTTGCTTTCTTTGAGTCAAAAAAGTCCTTCAGGTTTTCAAAATGACATGTCCTTGTTTTTCAGATGCAGCAGCACTGTCTCCATTACTGATGAAATGGGATATGATTAGTGGACGGTCATCACTTCGTAACTCACCAACACAATTAGCGGCCCATCTCTTCTCGTCTCCAATGATGGTCTCCGGAGGAATGGTTGCAGTGCAGTCTTCATGTCCTGGGCATGTCAGGTAACTTCCATTCCTTTGCTTTATAGTAGGTGTGCATGTGCCTTTCTTGCATAGTGTATTCCCACAGAACACTGCCAACATGACAACAGTTTTCCTCTGAGTTACATTTTCACTTAGGGTATAAATCACTTGGGTGGCAGTTTGGAATGGGGTTTTTCAATGGCACTGAAGATGGCATTATTGAAATGAACATCTCCTTCCGCTCTGATGGTGGGTGTCAGGAAGTCCATATTTTTCATTAAGTTCGTCAATGTTCTGCCTTACTTATTTACATTGATGATAATTTTCCAATTTTGTTGCAGGTCTGTTGCATGTTGGCGGCTGACACTGGTGCAATGGTTTGCACCAAGAAGCATACCACGCATACCCTCTGTTGTACTGGTACCCAGGTGACTGACAGCCATGGCCACATTCAGCTGTGCAGCTCTTCATTCCCTGCCAGATCTTCTCACCTCTTCATGAAGGTTTTCTCGGTGACTGGTATAGTGGCACTTCTTACATCGGATGGAAAGGATCCATGCCAGGCCTCGTTTTTCCTCCCCATGCTGATACCAGTCCAGTGGACCATCACAGTCTGGAAACTTATGTGTGAGTGTTCTTTAAATACATTGTTCCACAATTTAGCAGTCTTTTCTTGGTAAATTACTTTGTATAATTTTGAATTTTGGTCATCTGACACAGATTCCATGTAGGTGTCTACTCGCTGGACCTTACTTGGCCCAGGTTGTAGAATCTTCATCTCACTGCTTCGACTCTTGGCATCTATAACTGCAAACATTCCATTTTTCTGTTGCCATACAATGTCCTTAAACTCTTCTTTACTTAGACTTCTAATGAGAACAAGAAATTGGACTGGGCTGATGGTCCCTTTATTTTTCTGACCTACAAGAATATTTCAAAATATCATAATGCTTAAAAGCCCAATTTCAATAAAAAATATTGTCGAGCCCCTATTTTACAAAACCTGACATGTACCACTGGAATTAAAATAATTAATCAATTACCATTGAACTTTTCTTAATATTAAACAAAGTTTTTATGGCCAAATTGTCATAAGTATTGAATTAAATGGGTGTAACATCTAGGTAGGAATTGGAAGTTAGGGTGCATGGGTCTTTGTTGCATTAGTACCTATATAAGAAAGATGAAGAACAAAAAGACATTTCTTCAATTTTTATTTAATTTCATTAATGTTTAGTTAAATGTCTTAAAGGTCTTTTGCAAGGAAATAGCCAATCAAAATAAACTTTATAGTCATTTGTAGTTCTATACAATACATATAGAGACAATTTATTTTTATATTTTTCCATGTTCAGCATCTTTTTTTAGGCCTACAATATAAAATTTGGACTCGTGTACTAGGAATATCATATCATTAGCAGGATTATCCCACTGAATTAAACGGAACTGTCTTTTTTCAGGTGTGCATGATGCAACTTCCTGGATGGTGTGTAGGCTGTTTGTCAACATGTCAAACCCACAATCATGTGTTTCAGAGTAGGTATGTATATACTGTCAATTTTCTGTCTTAACAGCCGCATGTATGCAGCATATTTTTTTCTTAACTCAAAGAACAAGGTTCACTTATGGCCTTTTTTGGCCTTGTGAATTTCTGAAAAACCGAAACTGCTTACTTTTATTTAACAATACATCATATATCATTTAGACCTTTGGTGAATGCATATCTATCAAAATTGATATAATTTTTTGGCTAGAACTGATCATTGAAAATAACTTAATTTTTTTTTATTTGGTTCTTTTTATTATTTCAGGCTTTAAGTGAAAGTGGTCTGTCACTGAGTCAACAATTACTGAGCCAATATTTGGTGCCATTGATTCACAAGCTGAAAAATAAGGACAAAGCCAGCCTAATACCAGACTTGGTAATATGTTTATCAGATACTTATTTTGGCAAACAGTGCAGTGTTTCTTTCCATCATTAACATTAAAGCTGAGTACTTGTATCTTAAATATTATATTAAGGACCCTCTCTACACAAGTGCAAATTTTTTTTTGGGACATTGAGAAAAATATATTGTATAAAGGAGTTAATATTGAGCTTGTTTACTTAATTTTCAATGTATGCTGCTTGGCATTTACAAGTACCCCGGGAAAAATGTTCAAAGACAACACAGTATCAGTGAATAGAAATCATTGTTAACTAGTGCTAATTGTAACGGGAACCATTACAGGTGTTCCCCAAACGCTCCCCAACTCCCTTTTGGTGCCATATTCCCTGTAAGCCTTATTAAATAAGACAATATCTGTGCATTTTTGACTTTCACAACGTTTTCCAAGAAGGATACCAATTATATTCAAATTTTAACATTGCACGCGTGCGCATGTGAATGTACATGCGAAATGATCATACCATCTTGTCTTCACTTTCTATATATTTAAATATACTATATATTTAGGCATTTAGTCCAAAGGTATTGAAAATCACTCATTCAAGTATATTTTTAATTTCACTCGTTCCAAATGCATGCATGTGCGTGCACGTGCATGAAGACCATACCTTCTTGTAGGAGTTCCTTATATCTATCTATGTTTTAAATCCCATCCTGTTTGGTTGAAAACCAAGGTAGTTATAGCCATTTCAAGTTTCAGCCAATCAGATTGCAGCACACGTGCATGCGTGTGATTTCATGATTTTTTCTCTAAATCATATTGTAGGATATCCTAATTCATGACTATGTTTTGAATTTCAAAGCATTTCGTCAAAAAACAAAGGAGATATAGCCATTTAAAGTTTCAGCCAATCAGATTGCAACACACGTGCATGCGCGTGAATTGTTGAAATTTTTTGTATATCATATTGCAGGATATCCTAATGCATGACTATGTTTCAAATTTCAAAGCATTTCGTCAAAAAACAAAGGAGATATAGCCATTTAAAGTTTTAGCCAATCAGATTGCAGTGCACATGCATGCGCGTGATTTCATGAAATTTTTTCCATATTATATTGTAATATATCCTTATGCATGACAATCTTTAAATTTTCAAAGCATTTCATCAAAAAACAAAAGAGATATTGAGATTTTTGTTTCAGCCAATCAGAGCAAGGCACACGTGCATGAGTTCGTGCTAATTTGACAGTGTCATATTATTAACACTATTAATATATTCTTATATAATGAGTTTCAAACTATTTCTTCAAAAAATGTAAAAATTATGGCTATTTTAAGTATATCTGTCATTTCACTCATTTCACGTGCCCGCACGTGCAGGCGTATGCGCGCAAAATGACCTTCGTTCCGCACACCTACACTACACACCTATTAACCCTAAAAAGGTTTTAGCTCAGTTGGGTGAACAGTTTCTGAGAACACTTCCGGACAAAAAAGTACCGGAGAACAAATAAGAAAAAAAAGAACTAGAGGAGATCTCGTTGCGAGCAACGAGTAGGTCTTCCGTTCGATTCTTGATACGATCATAAAACAACTTTGAATGAAAAGAATGTTCATATCAATTCCTCAATATACAAGAGAACACATTAAAGAGTGAAATCTGTAAATTTCAGACAACTTCCGGTCTTTATAATTCACTTCCGTTGTGACCGGAAGAACTTAAATTGCCCTATAACTCCTCTCTGAGTGTGAAGGAATCATTGATAATTTCGATTGCTCATTTTTTTGACTACTTCCGGTTTGGAAAAAATAACTTCCGGTGGACATAATATTACTCGAGACACTCTATTTGCCTCCATAAGAAACATTTAAAAAAGAAAAAAATAAAATTTTGCATATTTTTAAACTACTTGGACAACGGATGCAACAAAAACTTTACACAAAATTCAGTAGAGCCTGTCACAATCTAATCCCTGAAAGTTTCAAGACTCATTTAATCTCTAACCGTTTTTGAGAATGTTCCGGACAAAATGACACTTTAAAAAAAGAAAATTGGCCGTATCTCGCGACCGGAAGTGACGACGGCAAAATAAAAAAAAACGCCCTAAGTTCATATGATTTGCCATCATTGCTGAAAGTTTCATGAAAATCTGTCAAGGCATTCTCAAGAAATTGCCTGCACAAAATCGGTAAGAAAAAAAAAAAAAATAATAATAATAGTGGAAAAGAAACAACAGAATCAGTAGAAGGTCTTCCGTTGGAAACGGAAGACCTTAATAATAATAATAAGAAGAAGAAGAAGAAACCGAGTAAAAACAATATGTTCCCAAACTCCGTTTGGGGAACATAATTACTTCTAGGCCTGAGTATCGCAAGCTATCTAGCGATATGATACATATCACGATATGGTCTTGCGATTCAACATGTATCATGATACAGCTGTCAACAGTTAAATTTAATGATATCTTTAATTATTCTTGCTTGTTAACCTCCGCAATTAAAGGAAATATAAAAGAAACTATCTTGAGACCCATAATCAAAGTTATTTAGAGGTGGACATATAGTCCAAGCATTATATTTTTATATTGTTACCTTGTTTTCAATCATTTTGTAACATTAAATTTTCACAGATTTCATGAAGAATTTTCAAATAAGGCAATGAACATTAACTTGTACTGTATCATGATACATACATGGCGATATGATATGTGTATCGTGAGACCTTGCGATCAATACGTATCGATGTATTGCTGTATTGTTACACCTCTAATTACTTCAATAGAAAAAATACATGTAAATAACATGTTCAGTTAATTTATCTTGGCCTTTTAAAATGTTAAGAATACTTGAATTGATTACAAATTGAGTAATATATTGTAAATTTATATTTTTCAGAATTTAGATCTATGGGCAGATCACTCTAACTGCAGAAAAATACCTTAGGATCATAACTCTTTAGTGTGCAGTGTAGAGAGGGTTCTTATAAAAGAAAATAAAATAATTTCATTTCTATAGTCTAAAAACATTCTTGTAAGCAAAATTAGGATGTCTTTTTTATCATTATCAATATAAATACCCTAACTACTTGTACTTTAAATAATATATCATAGTAAATAATCACGGAATTCATTGTATTTCTATAGTGTTGGACAACTGGAGCCTTGCCTTGTATTACTCAAACTGGAGCTATAATGGGGATGGAGTCCAGAGATATTTTCCCTATGGATGTGTTTCAAAGAATTCTGATGGAGCTTGGAGCAGTCTCGGTTATGGGAGATAATTTCGCTATTTGTGCTTGTCCAAAAGTTTCCATGTGACCTAGAGATGGACTCAGGATATTTTTTTGCTACCCATGTTTTTCCAAGATTTTCCATGTGGCCTGAAGCAGGACAAACCACCAGGGATACTATGTGAAGGAACATTTATAATTTTTGGATGGTTGTGGGAATTTGATGTATTTTTGTATTGTATAACCATGGCATTTTCCATGATATATCTAGGATAATAGAAGAATTCATTTTACTAGATAATTGTTTAAGATTACTTAGGCTCACTGTTTTATCTGAGTGAGACAGTATCATTTAGAGAGCATTTAACCATTTATTGTAAGTTAACACCCCCTACAAATTACAAGTATTGAGGTCTAATAATTCTACATTTTTTTCCTTTTACAATTAAGTTTCCTTTTTTAAAGTTTTGTATGTCTTTTTTTTTTTTTTTTACATTTTTTAATACATGTATAAAGTTTTTTTTAGATATATTATTTAAGCTAAAAAGCGTTGGAGGTATTTATACTAGTGATTTTCTGAATGCTTAAAAGAAACTACTTTTAGCTTATTACCTTAGATTGTTTCCATACATAAGAAATCTAGTTAACAGTGTGATTTTTTTTTCTTTATACATGTATTATCCATTTATTGCAATTCTTTTTGATAAGTTATTTAAGCTTAAAGAAAAGTTTTTCCCAATCAACACTTGTCATAGTTTTAAAGATTTTGATGAAAGCAAAAGATGTACCGGGTATTTGAATCAGCACTTGTCTGAATTTTAAAGTTAAAAACAAGGGAGGTAGTGTTTGTCTGAATTAGGAACCTTAAAAACAGAGAGTTTTTTTTTTTTAAATCAGTGCTTGATCATGAATTAATAGATTTAATGCAAGGGAGGTTTTTAGTGCTTACCTGAATATTTAAATTTAAAAGCAGGGGAGGTATTTTGTACTACTTGTCTGAATATTTAAGTTTAAAAATAGGGAGGTATTTAACTTTAAAAATAGTGAGGTATTTAATGCTTATCTGAATATTTAGATTTAAAAGTTTGAATATTTAAGTAAAAAAAAGTGAGGGAGGTATTTAGTGCTTGTCTGAATATTTAAGTTAAAAAAATTGTGGGGGGGAGGTATTTATAGTTTCTTGTCTGAATATTTAAATTTAAAAGTGAGATAATGAATTAGTGCTTGCCTGAATATACAAGTTTTAAAACGAGGGAGTTAGTTTTTGCCTGAATATTTAATTTTTAAAGGAGGGAGGTTGTTAGTGTTTACCTGTATTAACTATGGAAGTTTTAAACCAGGGAGGTACATAAAACTTGCCTGAATATTTAAGTTTTAAACCAGGGAGGTACATAGAACTAGCCTGAATATTTAAGTTTTAAGACGAGGGAGGTATTCAGTGCTTGCCTGTCATTTACTATGGAAATTTTATATGAGGGAGGTATTTAGTGCCTAATATTTATTTTAAAAAATGGAGGTATTTAGTACTTGCCCGAGTTGTTAAGTTTCAAAATGACAGAAGTATTTAGTGCTCTTCTGAATGTGAAAGTTTTAAAAAATGAGGGAGGTACATGATATAGTTCTTGTATGAATAATTAATTTCAAAGTGAGCAAGGTTGTTAATGTGTACCTGTATTAACAATGAAATTTGAAATGAGGGAGGTTTTAATTAATTGCCTGAAATTTACTAATCCTATACAATTTTTAAAGTGGATGGTATTTTGCCTGCATATCTAAGTTTTAAGATGAGAGAGGTAGTGCCTGCATGAAGATGAGGGAGGTATATGAATTGTTTGTTTAAATGCATTTGAGATCTTCAGTTATTCCCAGAATATTGAGTTCAAAAGCAAGGAGGATTTTCATGCTTATCAAAATACTAATCAAAAGCTTTTGTAACAGGAGTCAAGGGTTTATAAAACCTCTCTCTCTACCCTATTACAACTATTAACACCGAAATGTTTGACTTTTTTTTAAACAAGAAAATGTCGCACTTCTTCAGATTTTTTTTAATGAGCAAGTTAAATTTTTACAAAAGTAATTTAGAAAGGGTATTTTCTGTGGTTTATATTATTTACAGTGTTTTCTGCTTTTTAATTCATTTCAATGGCAAAACTTTTTTTTATCAAACTGAAAATTCCTTGAAAAATTGGGTCAATGAAAGTTTTGAAGATGACGAACAGTGATTGATCCAAAACAAAAACTGTAATCAATACAAATCTGTAAATAAGGCCTCAAACAAGGATCACAGGAAATTACAGCTGTGGGATCAGGTGCCTTGGAGGACTAAGCATTCCATATCGACCCGGTCACACCTGTTTTAAAATAGCATAATGTAATGATCAGAAATACGGAATATCCGTGCTCAGTCTCAGTATAAAACAAAGCTGAAATATTTCAGTCATAATAACCACAGAAATTATCCAATGTATGTTATTTTCTATGTTAGATATTCTGTCTTTCTTCTTCCTTTCTCTTTTTATTTTTTTTTCTAAAGCTTAAAGAAGCAATTACCTTTTTTCTTCTGACTATCCCCCTTTTTTTTTTAATTTAGGGTGTTTTAAAAATGTATAATTAATTCAAATATGTTTAATTTAAAAATATATAATTAATTCAAATCTGTTTTATATGCTATCTCTTCTTTCTTTCTCTTTTTCTTTTTTTTAACAGAAAAGTTCTTATTTCTCTTTTCTTTCTTTTTTTATTAGAAGTTTTTTTAATTAGGAGAGTTTTCTTTCTCTCTTATTTAAGATTTTATTTTATTTTCTCTCATTTAATTTAGTTTTAATTTATTTTCGCATGGCAATGACGTTTCAGTTAAAGGTTTTAATCAGAAAAAAATACTCTGACTTTCTTTTCAGTTATTTAATAATCAGAGATATCTCAGCGGCTATTACAACCTCCCTCTAAACCTTATTGTAGCTTTCTCTCTTTGTTATAAAGTTATCCTCGTTGTAATATTTTTATAATGGTAAGGAGATTTAAGGAAAACAGTTATGATTAGTAATTTTCCTCAATTTTTTTTACAGAGGAATTACATTTTACTGAAGATATCTCAAGGATTTTTAAAACCTCCCTCTATACCTCATTATAGCTATGAACATTGAAATGCCTGTCTCGAGAAAAACAAATGAAGTCACACTTGCTCAGATTTTTTTTTGAATGAGCACGTCTTGTAATATTTTTTACAAGAGTATTTTTTTCCATATATTGGGTAAATTCTGTGGCTCATATTGTTTGCATTTTTGCGCTTTTTAATTCATTTCAAATTCAATACTATTGCTTTTTCAAACTGAAAATTCTATGAAAAAATGATTAAATGAAAGTTTTGAAGATGACGAACAGTGATTGATCCAAAACAAAAACTGTAATCAATACAAATCTGTAAATAAGGCATCAAACAAGGATCACAGGAAATTACAGCTGTGGGATCAGGTGCCTTGGAGGACTAAGCATTCCATATCAACCCGGTCACACCTGTTATTAGCATAATGTAATGATCTGAATATTCCGTGCTCAAATTCAGTATAAAACAAAGCTGAAATATTTCAGTCATAATAAATTAATCGCAGAAATTATCCAATGTATGGTATTTTTATGTTAGATGTTCTGTCTTTCTTCTTCCTTTCTCTTTTATTTTTTTTTTATAAAGCTTTAAGAAGCAAGTTTTTTTCTTCTGACTATCCACTTTTTTTTAAAGTTAATTTTTTTTTAATTTTCTTATTAATTCAAATGATATGTTTTTATATACTATCTCTTCTTTCTTTCTCTTTTTTTTTTTTTTTTTTTACAGAAACGTTCTTATTTTTCTTTTCTTTCTTTTTCTTTTTTTTTTAATTAGGAGTTTTTCTTTTTTATATTTTAAGATAGTTTCATTTTTCTCTCATTTAATTTAGTTTTAATTTATTTTCTTATGGCAAGGACACTTTGGTTAAAAGTTTCAATCAGAGTAAATCTCTCTCTCTCTCTCTCTCTCTTTCTCGTTATTTCATAATCAGAGATATCTCAACGTCTATCACAACCTCCCTCTATAACTCCTTGTAGCTTTCTGTCTTTGTTATAAAGTTATCTAAGTTGTTGTATTTTTGTAATGGTAATGATGTTTTTAAAAAAAGTAGTTATTAGTTATTTCCCTTAATATATTTTTAGAGGAATTACATTTTAACTGAAGATAACTCGTGGATTTTTAAAACCTCCCTCTATACTTTATTATATAAATGATTATTGAAATGTCAAGACAAGACAAGACGAGACTTTATTCTCATAAACTGTACAAAACAGTATAGAGAGGATATTACATAAAATATTTACAATTAATTAATTAAGTCTGACTTGAGAGAAACAAATGAAGTCACACTTGCTCAGATTTTTTTTTTAATGAGCACGTCTTGTTATAATTTTATAAGAGTAGTAATTTTCCATATAATGGGTAAATTCTGTGGCTCATAATCATATTGTTTGCATTTTTGCGCTTTTCAATTAACTTCAATGGCAATACTAATGCTTTTTCAAATTGAAAATTCTATGAAAAATTGAGTCAATGAAAGTTTTGAAGATGACGAACAGTGATTGATCCAAAACAAAAACTGTAATCAATACAAATCTGTAAATAAGGCATAAAACAAGGATCACAGGAAATCACAGCTGTGGGATCAGGTGCCTTGGAGGACTAAGCATTCTATATCGACCCGGTCACACCTGTTATTAGCATAATGTAATCATATTTCAGTTACAATAACCACAGAAATTATCCAGTGTATGGTATTTTTATGGTAGATATTCTGTCTTTCTTCTTCCTTTCTCTTTTTATTTTTTTTTCCTAAAGCTTAAAGAAGCAATTACTTTTTTTCTTCTGACTACCCCCACCCTTTTTTTAAAGTTAAGTTTTTTTTTTATTATTTTTTATTTATTCAAATGATATGTTTTTAATTTTTATATACTATCTCTTCTTTCTTTCTC